GGACCCTTAGAAATTTACCTAACCTTATTATAACAAGCGCAATTTATTTTAGCCTATCCTACTAAATATATTTTAAATACGTTTACAGTAATTTATACTAAACAAACACAATGAAATATATTTTTTTCGTAATGTTTAGAATGATTTTTGTGAAATTATTGCATACACAAATTTTCGCTTGTCATATATGGCAAGATGAGCGTTGCTATTTAAGCCAAGATCGCAAAGTTCTGCCTATTCGGCACGACATATATATATATTATATATATATATTTTATATATATATATATATATATATATATATATATATGTATATATTAAATTATTGCATATGCACGAGTAAGCACTAAACTGTATGGGTCATATAGTGCCTAGGCCTTAGGGAATGAGGGTGCAGGTAATCAGGTTTGATCTACAGACACGGATAGGTTCATTTCCTTGGATTAAAAGTCCTTAACCAGCACCCTATTTGAAGGGTCTTGCCATGGATAGCCCGGAGCACACTATTCCAGTCCCATTACTCAGAACATAAGTTCAAGTAGACTGGAAGTCGCAATGATGCATAAACTTGCATACTGTGAAGAACTGTGTTCTGGCCTTGTTTTTTTTTTTTTAACTAAAGTACTACACATTATCTAAGCTTTGTTTAATCTAGCCAAGAGTATTGTTGATCAACTAAGCAGATATTAACCCTAGTGGCTCACCAGGTGACTTAGATAATCTTTGTGACCTACCTTTTTGGTGAGGACGAGCCAAGTGGTGAAGCCTTTACTGTCGGTGAACTGAAGGCCGAAGAACCAGATCTCGCGGAGGCCGATAGTGCGCACCACCTGGTCGAAGAGCTGCTTGCCCGTCGTGGTGGGCTTGATAGCAAACTCCAGTTCCGCGTCCATGGTGGTGATCCGCACATTAAGCTGGGGAGTGCAGAATATTATTAGGAGTGCACACAATAATGCTAACAGAACTCGCCCATATGTACCATAGTCTACCTACCTACGTTACTTCCACCCTCCACCCGATTGATTTACACTAACCACCATACTGTTTCCATTGTTTCATTAATAGTATGCTGTACAACCCATAAGGGTTTAGCAATTTTTTTTAATAAAAGTACGAAGTGCTACCGAGTGAATAATATTAAAGTGAGATGAAGTATTTGAACCATTTGTTAAGCGATACTGTCAAATTAAAAAAAAAAAAAAATCTTTGGGCTCGATGTACATAACCGCTAGCTTTTCATATTTTTTTATTCCTTTTAAAAGACGTACATGGCTGCAAAACCTCAATATTCGATATACTGCACCTGCATTGCATGAAACTGAGAATAGATACACAAATAACCCGCACATAAAAGAGAGAAGCTTACGACGACGTTTCGGTCCGACTTGGACCGACAGGCTCGTCCTCATTATTCCCCACTACTACCACTACCACAACTACTACCTCTACTACTACTACTACTACTACTACTACTACCTCTACTACTACTACTACTACCTCTACTACTACTACCTCTACTACTACCTCTACTATTACTACTACCTCTACTGCTACTACCTCTACTACTACTACCACCAACCACCACCACCACCACCACCACCCCCCACCACCACCACACCCCCACCACCACCACCACACACCACCACCACCACCACCACCACCCCTTCCCTCCTCCTCCTCCTCCTCCTCTTTCTCTTTCTCTTTCTCTTTCTCTTTCTCTTTCTCTTTCTCTTTCTCTTTCTCTTTCTCTTTCTCTTTCTCTTTCTCTTCCTCTTCCTCTTCTCCTCCTCCTCTTCCTGCCTATATATAGCCGTCCTGCTCCACTTCTGGTTAGTGTGACTTTGTAAATGGTCCAAGTCGGACCGAAACGTCGTCGTAAGCTTCTCTCTTTTATGTGCGGGTTATTTGTGTATCGTTCCAGTCACGGTATTGTCTTTTTTTGTTATTTATGGACCCCGCAGTTAAGCGTCATATTCTCTCCAACTTTTTTAATGTTCTTCCCTCTTTTAAACCCCTCATTCGATTTTATGAGGCTGCTCTTATTGCTACCCGGCATCGTAAGAATCAGCTTCGCTTCCTACGTGACTGTCTTGCTGAACAAGTTCTTCCACCTTCCTTCTCCCACTTCCTGAAAACCAACCCACTGGGCACTCCCTTTCCTGATCATGCCCTTTCCCCTACTTCAACAGCTCATTCTTTCTACTAAATCACAGGATGAAGATGCCTTCTTTACTTTCCGTCAACGTCAACGTGCTCTCTTTGCGGCTGTACCAGGATCTCTGTAACCTTCTCTCTACTTTGCCTTTGCACTGCTCCCCTAAATTTACCCCAAAATTCATTCTTCTAACTACAGAATAAACTTCAACGTTCATCTCAGTAGCCCTTCGTGTAAATTCTCCTTCACTGACTGTGTTACTAACCTATCTTCTGTCTCACTCTCTCAGTATGAGCTTGAACTTCTTGGTTTGGGCCTTTCCTTTGCCACTTAGCCTACCCTTCGCGCTGGTATTGCCATGATTAGCTCTTTTGTTTCCCTTTCGTAAATCTCGCTCCCGTAATCTTCCTGACTTGTCCACTTTTCGTGGCGCTCCCTTTTCCTGCTCTTGTTAGTTTGTTTTCTTAAGAATCACCACCTTCCACGCCGTTACCAACTTGCCCTTTCTTCTCTTAAATCCAACACTAACATTGTCTTTACTATCTTCTGACAAAGGTAATTCGGTAGTTATCCTTGATCACGAGGATTACCTCCGTAAAGCTGATGTCTTGCTCTCTGAACTCACGTACCTACACTCCTCTCGTTTCAACCCTCTTGATCGCATCAAGAGAACTTTCAACAAGAAACTAAGGGACTCTCTCCGACCTCTGTCCTCCTGACTTTGACCTTGTTCAACGGTTTCGTGTCATCTGTCCCTCACTTCCCTATTTCTTTGGCCTTCCCCAAAAACTCATAAACCTGATATTCCTCTTCGTCCTATCATATCCTTTCTAGAGGTTTTTGTCTCTTATTCTCTTGCTTCTTGGCTGGCCAAAACCTCACTCCCTTTTTTGGGTTTACTTTTTTCTCCTGCCCCCCCGTCACTCTCAAGATTCATTGAACGGGTTCGCTCTCTCCCAACCTGTAGATGCTTAGTCTTGACGTTGAGTCCCTCTTCCCCAAAATGTCCCTCTTGATGATGTCCTTGATTTTCTTAGAGAGAAGGCCCATGAAGGGTTTCTACATTCCCTATACCTTCTGATGTCTTTCTTGATCTTACCCGCCTCTGTGTGGATCTAATTCCTTTTCCTTCCAAGGGAAATATAATTCTCAACCTTCGGTGTCGCTATGGGCTCTCCTTCTCTCCTGTCCTTGCTAATCTTTACATGGAATACTTCGAGACTGTTTTCTTTATCCTCGATGTGCAACCTTCACTCTGGGCTCCGCTATGTGGATGACTTTCTTTGCTCTGTGGCCTCATGACTCCAGTCTTTTCCCAACCTTTTCTTGAAGCTCTTAATATCTTCCCCCTTCCATTAAGTTTAAAGCTGAATGGGAATCTAATTCCTTGCTTCCTTTCCTTGATATCCATGTCACCGCTCGATACAGGTTTTTCCTTTTCGTTTACCAAAAAACCTATGCACAGTGGCATGTACATTCACTACTTTTCCTATCATGCTTCCCCTGTCAAGAAAAGTGTTTTATCTCCCTTTTCTCCGTTGCCCTCCGCATCGTGATCCTTAGTTCCTTCCAGCAGAAATTTACACTCTTCATAATTCGTTTTCCCGTCTTGGCTACCCTTCCATTTCATAGACTCTGCCTTCACGTGCTAAACGTAATTTCTTCTCTCCCAACTCTCTACTCCTGGGAACTCTTCTATCCTCTGCCTTCCCTACATTTTCGGTCTTTAATCTCAACAATTTTTCTCCGTCCCTTAGACTCAAGCTTACCTTCCGCCAGACTAACATCTTCGCACTAATCTTTGTTTTATAACCTTCCTCCTTCTACAGATGTTCCTGGTGTCTATTATTTCTTGCTCCTCCTGTCCTCTTCAATACTTCGGAGGAAACTGGTCGATCTCTTTCTGACAGACTTAGGGGCACAAAATAGTGTTAGGCTTGCCCACACTAACAATGCTCTTTTCTGTCACGTCAGAGATCATAGCCATCCTATTGACTGGTTTCTGCTAAAACTGTCTTCCCCACTTCCAACTCGAAAAAGTCGCCGTCTAGTTGAATCCTCTCTAATACACAACTTTCCTTGTATGAATCTTAGCCCCGGCTTCGCTCTGTAGATGCCTTCCTCTCCCACTACATTTTTAAAATGCTCCAAATTCAGAAACCGTGACTTAACCTGACTCCTCATTTTTTCTTTTTCTTTTTCTTCTTCTCCCTCTTCCCTTTCCTCTTTCCTTTTTCTCCTCTAGGTTGTCTTTCTCTCTTCTGTCTCGTGTTTCTGTTCCTTCTTTACTTATTTCACCACTTCCCCTTTCACCCACCTCTGTGTGCTTGCTCTCCCTCTGTGGGCACTAGCTCCCTTTTCAGTGCTCCCCTTCCTTTGTATTTGACTGGCTCGTCCTCCTTATTCCCCACTACTACCGCTACCACTACTACTACCTCTACTACTACTACCACTACTACTACTACTACTACTACTGCTACTACTACTGCTACTACTACTACTACCACCACCACCACCTCTTCCTGCCTATATATAGCCGTCCTGCTCCACTTCTGGTTAGTGTGACTTTGTAAATGATCCAAGTCGGACCGAAACGTCGTCGTAAGCTTCTCTCTTTTATGTGCGGGTTATTTGTGTATCGTTCCAGTCACGGTATTGTGCCTTTTTTTGTTATTTATGAGAATAGATGTTTGTTTTGCTCTCCAAATAGGTTCATAGCTGTTTGAAAAAGAAACACAAAGCTGGCTGACGCATTAGATAATACCAGTATGCAATAATGAAGTTTTATTGGCAGGCGTCCATCCCCTCCCCATCCCTTTTCTCCACAAGTTGCTCTGGGTCCCCAAAGCGCTTAACTTTGACCACAAAACACCACGACAGAATAAAACAAGGTTGATTCTAGAAGCTAAGCTCTTCGCGAGAATCTTATAGACTGCACAGAGGAGGAAATTGACTCCAATCCGAAAGATGCTCAGGTGCGATCCATACACTTGGAGAGAATCACAGTAGGGCCTAGACATCCGGAGGTGCGTCTAACATTGTAAAACAAAACAGTAGAACTTTTCTCTCCCCACAAAAAAAGTACCAGTGTGCAAGATACAAATGAACCATTATTGAGATAGAAACGTTTATCTCATGCTTCTTCAACTCTCCCTTCAGCCATATAACCTCATTAATATCTTTATTTCCCCAAGTGCACGTACAAGGTATACAGGCCTAGCTGACATCAATGACATAATACTGTACAGAAAGCCCCTTGTTATGCAGAGAATTTAGGGCAAATTAAGTAAATTTTGTCCCGGGATGCGACCCACACCAGTCGACTAACACCCAGGTACCCATTTTACTGATGTATGAACAGGGGCAACAGGTGTAAGAAAACATTCCGAATGTTTCCATCCTTGCCGGGAATCGAATCAAGAACCTTCAGCGTGTGAAGCGAGAGCTTTGACTACCAGGCCACGGTTAGTTTTTAGTTTAATATGTTTATTATGCACCCCATACCCATCCTGTGGGCGGTAGTCAAAAGATTACAGAGGTACATAATTGGTCCAGGGACTGGACCCCAAAGTTATGATAGCTGAACTAGTCACAAAGGTAATGAACTCCAGGTCACTAATCAGGCCACGGGCCACCACACAATTCACACAAATCGCTATTGGCACAAAGGCCAACATATCCCTCACAGTATACAACAATACCAATTTAATATTTGCTTTAAATCTTCATTATTCGCCCCCATATGTATCCTATGGGTGG